TGCCAAAGAATGCGTTTCCCCGTCTTGCTCAGGACGATCTCCTTCCTTTGTTGAGACCCTTCACCATCATGGACATTCACCAAGCTATCTTTGAGATGAAGCCTTTTCAAGCACCTGGGTCAGATGGTTTTCATGCTGCTTTTTATCAACAGGCTTGGAAGGTGGTGGGGAAGTCTCTAACGGATATGGCTCTGACTTTTTCCAATACCGAGATTCTACCGGAAAAGGTTTCAGAGTCTACCGTTGTGCTCATCCCCAAAGTAGATCACCCCGAGTTCGTGACTCAGCTTCGCCCTATCTCACTCAACAATGTGAGTCTTAAGGCCATTACTAAGGCGATCACTAGCAGGTTGAAGCCGGTTATGAGGAAGCTTATATCTCCTCGGCAGAGCAGTTTCATTCCCGGCCGTCAGACAACGGATAATGTCATCGTGGTTCAGGAAGTGCTCCACTCCATGGGGAAGAGAAAAGGAAGGAAAGGAGGCATGATTCTCAAGATTGATCTCGAGAAAGCATATGATATGCTGCGGTGGGACTTTCTTCGAGATACTCTTAAGGAAGTGGGGCTCCCCAGCTCGTGGATCAGTTGTATCATGTATTGCGTGGAGCAGAACAATATGCGGGGTCCTTTGGAATGGAAATCTCTCTGCAACCATCACTCCTACTCGTGGAGTACGCCAGGGAGACCCTCTCTCTCCTTATCTTTTTGTTCTTTGCATGGAGCGCTTATCTCACAGAATTGACGCGGTCCTTCATAGTGGGCAATGGAAGCCTGTTAGGCTCACTAGGAATGGACCGCCTCTGACGCACCTTTTCTTTGCAGATGATCTTTTGCTCTTTGCAGAGGCAGAAACAAGGCAGATTAGGATCATCAAGGAGTGCCTTGATGACTTTTTCTCCAGCTCCGGGCAGCGGGTCAATTATGCCAAGTCCTTGCTGTTTGTCTCCCCTAATGTCGATAGAGCCAAAGCTCGCGCTCTGATCTCTAGAGCGGAAATTCCCCTGAAGATGGAGATTGGGAGATACCTTGGCATTCACGGCCTGCATGGCCGGGTGATGGCAGGGAGGTATCAGGGCCTTCTTCTGCGCATTCAAAAGAAGCTGGCTCCATGGAAAGCTAAGCGCTTGTCCTTGGCTGCTCGACTCACTATCTCCAGGTCTATCATTTCCTCTCTTCCCACTTATCATATGCATACAGAGCTTCTGCCTAAGGGAGTTTGTGCGTCCATTGATCGTATTAACAGGGATTTTGTTTGGGGCGAGGAAGAAGGGAAGTCCAAGCTCCATCTAGTTGGGTGGGAAAAGATGATTCTGCCTAAAGACCAAGGGGGGGCGGGACTCCGATCGGTGAGGAATGCCAATCTGGCTATGCTTGCCAAAAGTGGGTGGAGACTCCTTAAGGAGAAAGATACTTTGTGGACTCAGGTGATCAGGGATAAATATGGCCGGAACAAGGAGAACATGGACATTTTCCGCTCAATTCAGGGAAGTTCCTTTACCTAGAGAAGCCTTGTCAAGGCTTCTTCCCTTCTAAAGGAAGGTTGTGCGTGGAATATTAAGAATGGAAAAACTACTAAATTTTGGCATGATTCGTGGATTGTGCAGGAACCCCTCCTGAATCTGGTGGAAGAGGAAATTCCTTATTCGCGTACTGAGGAGGCAGTGGCAGATCTGATTTCGGAGGAGGGCAACTGGCGCACGGAATTGTTCGAAGGCCTTCTCCCGACAGATATACAGATGAAGATCCTTAGTGTGGCGGTGGACAAGCTCTCAAGCGAGGAGGACACCTTCTTCTGGTCGCGGTCCTCTAACGGTCAGTTCACCACGAAGACTACTTACCAGGCTCTTTTGCCGCAAGGAAATGACCGGGATGCCAAGCTGTGGAAGATCATTTGGGGCCTCCCAGACCCGGAAAGGATTCGGTGTTTCATTTGGCTTGTTTGTCTTGGCAAAATCGCGACAAACATCCTCCGGCATGCTAGGAAGCTCGCCGACTCGGCAGATTGTGGGAGATGCAGCAGTCAAGCTGAAACTATTCTCCACATCCTCCGGGACTGTCCACCGGCTATGTATTTTTGGGTAAGGCAGGTTCCTAGCAGAAGACAGCAGGCTTTCTTCTCGGCGACCACTGCAGATTGGTTGCAGATGAACCTCGTAGGGGGCGGGGAGGAGCACGAAGGGATGCAGTGGGTGGCCTTCTTCAGCATTGCGGTTTGGTCGCTGTGGAAGAACAGGAATGACATGTGCTTCAAAGGTATCTCCTCCACCCTCACCCCTCCATCTCTGACCCACTCGATTGTAGCTAAAGCCAAGCTATGGAGCGAGGCTTGGAGAGCCCCCTCTCCTTTGCCGATTGGCAGGAGAACGTCGGCGCCCCGGGTGTTGGAGAATATTGCGTGGAGCCTGCCCCGGATGGGTGGGTGAAGCTTAATCTCGACGGAGCATCTAATGGGAACCCGGGGCTTGCTGGGGCAGCTGGGGTGTTGAGAGATGGAGTTGGGCGGTGGCTTGGCGGTTTTGTTGCAATGATAGGAGAAGCTTCTGCAGCCTTGGCAGAGCTGTGGGCCTTTTATCATGGTTTGGATATTGCTTGAAAGCTTGGCTACCGGCAGGTAGTGGTTGAGTCTGATTCGCAGTTGGCCATCCAGTTAATTGCATATAGACATGATCCAGTTCACCCTTACGCCACCTTACTTGCTGCAATTCGCAGAAGAGTTAGCCGTGACTGGCTCGTGCGCATTGTTCATGCATATCGGGAAGGGAATAGAGTCGCGGACTGGCTCTCGAAGCACAGTCTCGTCTATCCCTACGGTATACAGGAACTTGTACACCCGCCAGCAGGAATAGGAACCTTTCTCAAAGATGATATTCAGGGAGTTTCTTTCGAAAGGCGGATTGTGTCCCGCCACTCTAACTCTTCTTCCTCTCTACTCCCATGTAACTTCTCTTTCTTGGCTTTTTGCCTCCCGCTATGCAAAAAATATATATATATATATATAATAATTTTTTGTTAAATGTTATTAATCGTTTAACCTTTTTTCTATTAAAACACTAGCTCTTTACTATTAGTTCAAACTCAAAATTTATTTCCCCCTCACGGAACAATGTGTTCTTTAAGGCATTCAGTCCATGAGCAGTGTGTTGGGTCGGCAATGGGCGCATCAAACAAATGAATTTTTGGAGTTGGGCAAAACTGAAGGGACATTAACTACGGTCAGCAGCCGCCAGACGCAACCCTTGCCGGAGGGGCATACAAACCGGCCGATGGTGTACTTTGATGGGCTACCAAACGTGGGTCTCATGGGGCAATTAGGTCGGTCTTGTGTGATGGTTCAGGGTCCATCGTTGCGGCGGAAGATCGATGTTTGCCAGGTTTGTGTGATTCATTTTTAATTGAGTTATTGGCGTTGCGTGACACGTTGATTTGGTGTCAAGGTATGGGTTTGACATTGGTCGATGTGAAGGGAGATGTGCAAGTTGTGATTCAGAAGGTCTTGACTAGTGATGGTTGGGATTCCCAAGGTGGCGCTATTCTTCGAGAGATCCAAGATATCCTGAGTATGCATTTAGGTTTTAGGGTCTCTTTTGTGCTTCGGAATTATAACAGAGCTGTCCATAGTGTGGCACGACAAGCTCTGTCCCTCTTTCCAGTGGGTTGTATAGGTTTTGATTTTTGTTCGTGGGTTCGATCTTTGTGAACCACCTTTGTACTTATCGTTTTGGTTCTCGTTAATTCGAGTATCTTTTGGCAAAAAAAAAAATACAAAATTTATTTCCCCCCGTTAATTGCTATCAATCTTCAAAATACTAACTCTTTCAAATTACAACAAAAATTCCTTCCTATTTACATGTTTTCCATTAAGAAAAACTCTTTCCTATTAATTGAAACACTATAAATCATATGTTATCTAGTTGTCCAACAAAATTGAGGTGCAGACCCCTAATCAGCTTGTTCCTGATCCAATTATATTTTTTATAGTCCAATTACATTTTTATCGACAAGTAACCTAAAAAACTTGCAAATTCTCCACGTTGTGTTTACTTCTGTTACTTTCAGATTTCGTTATTTTTTATTTAAGTTTTGTAATCACCATAAAACCATAATTGTTTTTACAAATGGTATATATGTTACCGGTTTTATCAACGATTTACAATACCGGTTAAACAACGGTTATCGATAAAATTTAAACCTCTCACTGATCCGGATCGATACAATGTTCGGTTTTGACAACATTTGCTAATTTGCACTCCTTCCCCCTCTAACCAAACATTAACAGAGTGATAAATAACTTGAGTGAAAAGAGCTAAGAAGAAGATCACTCTGCATAAATACAGGGGAGGAATTTGTTTGAGCGGAACTTTGTTCAGCAAATCCTTGGCAATCAAGTGGGTTAATTGCACCTCATATAATATAAGTATCGCTTTTGTTGCACACTGACTACTTAAATTTTTTTAGTTGCAACTAAACTATAAAAGATGGTTTTTAGTTGCATTGTTATATTTTCTGTTTCAAAATTTAATTGTGGGTACCAAATTGTACTTTTTCGCACCATGTAAGCATTCGAGCTCATCCTATAGACTATAGTGGACCACAAAAAAATCCACGTGTTTCCTTTGAAATCCAGGTGTTTCAATGCTTGCTTCACTGTCGGCTGTCGCTGAACGACTTCTTGAGTAGCACTGATCGAGATCCCCTTGTCAATCCCAACTCCGACCCTACCAACGACCTTCAGCTCCCCTTGCCCGGTTCGACAAAGAAAAATAAAGAGAAAAAATGAAGCAAGAAACAAAGCATAACAATTTACAGTAACACAATTAGTAAAGAAATTCAGAATATGAAGAGAGAACCAGAAGCTTGGAGATATTTAAAACAAGGGATTAATAAGAGGTAAACATAAGCTTAAATAGTTCCCTAATTCTTAGATCCAACATGCAATTCAACCAAAAACCCAGAAGTTGTTTTTTTGCCTAGAAAAGAGTAAGAGGGAGAAAAACAGAGGATGGGGACTTACATAGCATGCCTTTACTTAGGATTTGGGAAGTGTACCTTTTGTAGTCGACATCAGCAATCCGAGTTTGAGAGTGTCGAAAGCTTTGTCTTCGCTGGCCATGGCTCCATATGTCTGAATCACGCGGCCTTTGTCGGCGTTGACAGAAAGCGAAGGCGCGACCCTCCATTCCGTCAGGTTGGCACCGATCGGCCATGTCTTGGAAATGACGACGAGCTTCATCTCATCGAAAGTGGGCTGAAACAGAGCTTGTTCCGGGGAAGTTGCGTCGCGGAGGTCTCCGGAGAAGAGTTGAAATTCCAATTCATAGATATGAAAATTAATTAGTCGGTGGACCAAGATGATTGAGTCATGTTATCAAATGAAGGACTAGGAAAAGAAAGCAGAGCAATGTGAGAGGAAAATAGTAGAGAAGGGGAATGAAAAGAGGGCGCATATGGATTTAGTAGTTTACTATCTGACTCAACAATTAGAGGCTGAGCTGGAACGCCCATGTGGAATGAAAACTACAATTTGGTACCCAATATTAAATTTAGGGATGGAAAATGTAACGATGCAACTAAAAATTGAGTTACATAGTTTAGTTGCAACTTAACAAAATTAAGTGGTAAGTATGCAACGAAAGCAATACTTATATGGTATGTTGTGCAATTAACCCCAATCAAGTACATATATCCCTTCCGGCTTCCCCTTTTCCTGCGTAAAATTTTCCTCTTTCCAGTTTATGTGAGACCCAACCAATGAGTTTCAGAAACCCTTTTTCTTAAAGCTTGATGATTTCGCTACCCACTCCGCCGGAAGTGACGATCTCCACGGCGCTTCCCTTTCCGTTACGTACAAGGACAAAAAAAAAAGCCACGTTAGACCATATTTCCTTGTCTGTATCTAAAAGGAACTAATTCAACACCGTTTAGTCACATTCTTTTCCCCTATTAATTTCAGGCCAACCAAGCAAAAAAAAAAAAAACAAAAAAAAGAGAGAGAGAGTGGAGAGAAAATTGGTCGGGATGAGCGACGACCAGAGCCGGTGGGCAAATCTACTGCAGGAGATTCTACGCTCAATCCGTGAGAGATTATCCTGGAAGGATTATTTTTCTTTCAGACTGACATGTCGTGATTGGAATTTCTCTGCCGAACTCGACCATGGCATCTACAAGAAGATCAAGTATCCGTTCCTGTTGCAGTATTCCAAGGTCACTAAAACTGATGATTCATCGCCGGCAGCGGAGTCCAGTTGGTGTCGAGCCTACTCCCCTGCCTACAACAAAACGTATTATCTGCGCGCACCGAATGAAGTTTCCGACACTTGTATTTCCTGCGCGCGCTATGGATGGTTGCTTTTCTCCGGAGTATGTCGAATTTTCTTTTATCGCCCCTCTACGGGAGACATCATTCACTTACCCTATTACGGGCGAAATCTTCGTGGTAGCTTTAACCGGATGAGTTTCTCTGCTCCGCCCACGTCCCCTGATTGTGTGGTTGTCGGTCAACTGGATATCGACTCTGCGAAAAAAACTAGGATCGTCTTTATAAAACGAGGACAGAGTTGCTGGAATCACGATCAAGACGTCCCCAACATGATGAGATTGAAGAAGCACAGTCCTAAGAAGTTAGCGGCGGGAAATGCCAAGAAGAAGTATCTTCTGAGGGTTAAATCCAACGGCTGCAGATTAGTGAATTTGACAAAGTACTCTCGATGCAGGGAAAATTTCTTCTGGCCTCACTACAATTCCTCCCCCGCTTTTCCACAGAGGAGCGTTCTATTGCTTGGCTCAGGATGGAAGGCTGGAGGTGTTGAATCACAAGGCGAAAAGCAAGGACAAAATCTGGAGGGTGTTTGATACATCAGCAGCCAGTATTTTCAGAGACAACCCGGGCAATGAAGCTTATTTAGTGGAGTGCAGGGGAGAGTTGGTTGCCATCGTGGTCGGTCCGATGGGGAAGTTGGTGAGAATTCTCGAATTCTACGAGCCTGCACGAGTATGGAGGATTGTTCATGATCTCGAAAATCATGTGATTTTATTGAGCCCCGCAGGATGTGTGGCCATGGAGTGCGACGAGGCGGCAGGATTGAGCAGAAACACTATTCACTTCCCGAGGTTTAGTGGGCGAAATCACCACCATGTCTTCTACTCGCTCTCGACCAGGCGGTTTCACTGCTTTGACGAGGACCATACGGCGGACAACTTGTACGATACGAAGCTCCCGCTGGTTAACGCTTGGATGACTCCAACTTTCCCTTCTCCTAGCGGCGGAGGACAAAACTGGGATTGGTCGCGCAAACTGATCAAGCGACAGCGACGACCAGTGGCCAAAAATAATGTGATACATCCGCATTATTTGGTAAGGAAGCTGAGCTTCATGCAACCACCAAGCGATGATGAGCATTCGATTCAGTTGCAACGTCCTAAGCAATTAGAAGCCGCATGTCTTGTTTTGAGGAGTGGAGAAGGAGAAGCAGGGGGGCTGATCGATTTAAGCGGCAAAGGGATGATCGACCGCATGGAGCAACTGGCACTCAGGATCGGTTCCAAGGCGGTGTACTCCTCCGGCAGTAGTCTTGATCATGGACATTTGCTGGTGTTGATTGACACCAAGGTTCGTTCTTGCTCTTTGTTGTATCCCTCATCCATGGCTGAAATCCAACTACCCACATGGGCAACCGATTTCACCTGCGGAGATGTCGTGGTTCATGCCAAGTCCTCCAAATTGGTCGTGATGGTTTTCGGTAGGATTGATGGTGAAGAAGAAGATGGAAAACCGTCGAATAAGGGTAAGGATGTTGCAATGGTTTGGAGAGACGGTGATGACAAGTGGTCAATGCATACCAGAACAAGCGAGATAGGAGTCGATGCAATGACCGAAAAATTCGTCGTCCACCAGGGTCAGATTTATGGCTACCAAGATTACATTTACTATAAACATCTCGTCGTGGTTGAGTTGAGAATGGGGGAAGAAGAATATGTGATTGAGAAAACACAGGTGTCGGACCCGCAATTCTTCAGTCCAGGGTATGTTTGCATCGATGGACAATTGGTGGAATCGTGCGGCGAGCTCTTACATATAGTCGAATGTTTAGCCGGCGAGTGTCTCGGGGAAGACGATATCGGGGCTACTACAGGCGTCAGAGTCTACAAGCTGGATTTCCACGCCATGGAATGGAGGGTGTTGGAAGACTTGGGCGACCGTGCATTTCTGTGGAGTGAATCGGGATGTTACGCGTGCTGTGCAAGTAAATCCGGGCTACAAAGGAATAGTATTTACTTCGTCAAAGGGAGCAGTAGAGACTTGTGCGTTTATGATTACGGAAATCATACCATTTCGATAACCTTGGCTGGCCCCGAATTGGATGACAGTTGGATGGGAGGTGGGTTTATCATGTTGCATAACTAGCTAGCTAGGAGGGGAGTCAAGGTTATAGTTCATCATAGTTCCTACTTAGAATGTGGTAGTTTTTATTTTCTTGTGATAGAATATTATCCTTAGTTGGGTCCGGATCCTATCAGTAACCGACCTATCAGTAACGGTCAGTAACCGTCCATCTGACCGTCCATCGCGCCATCTTCCCAACCGTCAGATCATGGCAATTAAATACACGCGGGGGCAAAAAGGTAATCACGCCTTCTCTCCTTCTGACAATTTGAATTGCAGACGTGATCGCGACAACCGTCCCGCCTTCTCTCCATTCTTCCTCCCGTTCCTCTATTCTCTCACCCAAATCGCAGCAAAAACTTCCAGAAAAAACTTCAAATCGAACGATTTTCGCAAAGCTTTTCGAAGAATCATTCAACGAAACTCTTCGTCGAAAAACGAAGGGTTTCCAACTTCAACGAGTCTCAAAAATCGTTTTCGCACAAAATATCAAGGTAAAACCTCACTTCTTTCTTCGAAATCCATCCATAGAACAATAGAAACAGTATTTCAGTCACTCTTCATGTGAAAATTGTAGTAAAACTTGCTACATTACCGAATCGTTAGCATGCATTGCTGAACTGGTGTAGAATCTGTTGTGTTTTGCTTCGTTACCACATGGTATGGCGTGGTAAACTATGATTGCACGTTATAAAAAAGCAAAAAACTATGTTTTGCTTTGTTACCATATGGTAGTGTGTGGTAAGCTATGGTTTCATGTTGTAAAAAAGCAAAAAAACCATAAGTGCTGCTGTGTTTTAGTTTGTTACCATATGGTAATGTGTGGTAAGCTATGGTTTCATGTTGTAAAATAGCAAAAAAACAATAAGTCCTGCTGTGCTTTAGTTTGTTACCATATGGTAATGTGTGGTAACCTATGGTTTCATGTTGTAAAATAGCAAAAAACCATAAGTTCTTCTGTGTTTTAGTTTGTTACCATATGGTAATGTGTGGTAACCTATGGTTTCATGTTGTAAAATAGCAAAAAACCATAAGTTCTTCTGTGTTTTAGTTTGTTACCATATGGTAATGTGTGGTAACCTATGGTTTCATGTTGTAAAACAGCAAAAAACCATAAGTCCTGCTGTGTTTTAGTTTGTTACCATATGGTAATGTGTGGTAACCTATGGTTTCATGTTGTAAAAAAGCAAAAAACCATAAGTCCTGCTGTGTTTTACTTTGTTACCATATGGTAATGTGTGGTAAGCTATGGTTTCATGTTGTAAAAAAGCTAAAAAACAATAAGTGCTGCTGTGTTTTAGTTTGTTACCATATGGTAATGTGTGGTAAGATATGGTTTCATGTTGTAAAAAAGCAAAAAAACCATAAGTGCTGCTGTGTTTTAGTTTGTTACCATATGGTAATGTCTGGTAAGCTATGGTTTCATGTTGTAAAATAGCAAAAAAACAATAAGTCCTGCTGTGTTTTAGTTTGTTACCATATGGTAATGTGTGGTAACCTATGGTTTCATGCTATAAAAATGGAGGAAAACATACGTCCTGTTGTGTTTTACTTCGTTACCATATGGTAATATGTTATAAGACATGGTTTGATGTAATTACCATATGGTAAAATGAGATAAATATATGGTTTGATTTCGTATGGTAGGAAACCATTATCGTACCATATGGTATATTATGGTAAAAAGCATACTAACAGACTATTACTAATTTCTACATTCAGGTACACTATGGTAAAACCAAGACACAGTTTTCGCACAAGGTGCAGCCCAACAAGAATATCTGCAATTGCAAGGTCAATAACAGATGAACGGAAAGAGCAACTTGACATATTAGGCCTAGCAGGCTTAATATCAATCAAGCAGACAAAGATAAACAACCATTTTGCACTGTTCGTAATGAACAAATACGATCCAGAGAAAGAATCGTTCAAGTTACCTGACGGGACACACATGA